GACGACACATGATGGACAGTAGTTCCAGATTTGGTGTGCAGGAGCGTGTGAGAGGAACAACGTTTGCACTGTTGCACCAATTGTTGTTCACCATTAAACACACGCCGCCTCCCCTTGACTTCCCCGAGTCCCGTGTCCTGTCCATGCGGTGAACCGAGAAGAACACGGCCGGCTGGATGGCGTGGTCCGGCACTGCTGGGTTTAGCCATGTCTCGGTGAAGCAGAGGAGATTGCAGTCCCGAATGTCTCTCTGGAACTTTATCCTGGCCCTGAGCCCTCAAGCTTGTTCTCCAGTGACTGGACGTTGGCGAGCAGGATTCTAGGCAGAGGTGTGCGTTGTGCACGAGCTCTCAACCTGTTCCTGATGCCGGCTTGCTTCCCTCTAAGCCGCCTTTTCCCTCTAGGCTGCCGCTTCCCTTTGTTCTCCCTCAAGATCTCGCTCGGCCAGCTCGGATCCGCAGTTAAAAACTTCGAATTGTGAGTACATTGTATACCAATAGAAACAAGAGTGTCACTGTCATACCTAATGTACCCAATGGTGATGATTTTGCAGATTTAGAGACGCTGAAAACTAACTTAAAAAACAAAGACAAAGAAAAGGTGGTCGGAGCAGTCGTGACGGCAGCCGACCTCACCGGCTCTCAGCTAACTTCAAAGCTGTAGCCTGGTCAACACCCTTCTAGACTCCTATCAACCCCCCAAATTTCACTGTAGGCATCCTGTGGTGAAGTCAACTGGTGAATTATCTGCATTTACAACTCTTCTCCTGTCCTGTTTTCACCACAGAACAAGCTTTGTAAAGGAAATTGGATCAAGGTGTTTTGGTCTTCTTGGCTCAAAACCTCAAGTGTTCATGATGTAAATATAGACAAAAGGCTTCTCTGTTTACATCCTTCTTGCAGAAGACAAAAGAATAGGTGATGTTGCACAAATTCCATGGTAAATATCCAACTTGGACTAATCCATTGTCCTTCATACACATAGGCAATTGGCCTGTTCCAGTTCGTTTAGCTGTTCAATGTCCTGCAGCGAGTCAGATCCTTTGAGTCAGACTAGCAGGTCTGTCTTACCAGAGCAGTTCACCTTCCCAGTTACTGGTGAATCAACCTTCCATTCAGGTTCAGAGCAGTTGAAAAGTTGGCAGTGTTCCTGGATGTGTTGCTAAAGCAACCAAACAAACTGTCTCGCTCTCAGTGATGCTATATGGCCACAGTCCAGAAGAATGTGTAGCCAGTGGCATCACAAGCATAACCATTGGTCTCGTTGTTTATGTGAGCGGTTGTGTTCTTAAACTGCCACCAGTAGTTGTTGAAAACCCATGCGGGTACTGGGTGTGGTTTGCTCTGTTCCAGTGCGCTCCCTGTCATCCCACTCTGGGTCCACAGGCTCAAGAAGATGCACAGCACATTCCCAGCCATTCTGATGAGTACCTGTGGCTCAGTTGGTTTCTTCACTTTGCAACAGTATAGCGCTTCTGTTCTAATCGTGCAGATCTGCTCAAACATAGATCATCAAACAAAACTTTCAGTGCACCATGAAAGTAACAAAATAAAAGGAAAGAAAGAAAATAAAGGAAAGCAAAGGAAAGAAAGGCCTTGTTTAAGTCATGACACGTGTTCTTCATGCCAGGGGGATAAATCATAACAACCCAATTGGCAGGCTCAACTTAGTAACAAAAGACAAATCAACAGCCAGTTTAATCTCAAACATTCATCCAATCAGTCATACACACAACATACAGCATAACCCTGTTGTCTTAGCACATAATAAGTTTCTTCTCATGTAACTAAATGTGTGCCATTGTAAAACTTCTTCACGCATCAGAAACTCACAATCAACTCACTCAGCTCACTCATTTAAGACCCCTCATCAGCATTCTGTTTTCTCCTCTATGATGCAACCATCTGTCCTCCTATAATATTCAGTCCACTAGTCTATGTATCACTTTCATTTTACTAGTGACTTGGACAAGATGACAAACAGAATCTCATGCTTAAGATGCTGTCTGGTCTTCATGAGTATCATTTATTGTGTATGTGCATGTAAGGGTTAGTATAGTTAATGCATTTTCTGTATGTTTTTGTGTTCCTCTCTCATCACACTTTCATTATTCTCATCACTGCTTAAACAACACACATCTCTCTCTCTGTTTTTTTTTAACTGTCTTTTTCTCCAAAACAGAAAGTAGCATTACAGCTGTTTCAGACTGAGAAACACCAAACACTCTTCATGCTATCATTCATCCACACATCTATTTTATTTCTTTTTGTCCACTGGGCAGGTAATCTGCAGAATCATGCCTGCCCCAGCTGGATACCTTTTCACACACACCGTGACGTCAGACACACTCACACTCACTTCCGCTTAGCTCATTATTTCACTTCATTCGTCAACGATCCACACACCACGTGGTGGCCAATAAAAACTTTGCAGTGTATTTCATCCTCTTTCAAGGCAGACTTACACAGTTTATTCTCCATTACAAGACAACAATCAGCCACACTCACGTAGACCACGTCTGGCCCGCACACACACAACATAGGCCTATCGCTTGCGTCTACACGCATAGCTAGCGCCTACACGCATAGCTAGCGCCTACACGCACAGCTAGCGCCTACACGCACAGCTAGCGCTCTCTGTTGAAAACTCTCAAACGCCCCATATGGGGGAGAATTCAACCATCGGACACTCTCTAACACCCCAAATGGCAGAGATTCCGGACTCTCTTCACGGCAGAGTCACCAAACCTAGGTTGTCTCTGCGCCCCACACGGCGGAGAAGCCTGCATCTCTCTCACGCGGCTAGCGCGCTCCCGTACCTGCGTTCAACGCAGAGTCACGTAGCCGCTCTCTAAGGCCTTCTGTACTTACTGTTCATGTTGTTTTCGTTCATGGGAAGAGTCTCTGGATCCCGTCAATCGTCATCCATCCCAAGGGGAGTTCAGGCGCAAACTTCACGGCCTGGTAACAAAGCACCAGGGCTTTACGTCAATCATCCCAGACGTTGCGGTGGCGTCCTCTTCCTCTCCTCGGTGGATGCGATGTGTTAGGTTCTGGCTCCGAAGGACCAAATAAATGTTGGGTCTGTGTTTCCACAAGCCCCGCTAATTCTAGAGACGTATTCATCATGAAGAAAACAAGACAGTCGATCGATCAATCACTTGCGCAAGGGAGGCCTGTGTCCACCACGAAAATGACCTCGACGACGACCTCCCTTGCTGCCCTTTTTATTGAGACACAGTTCACACAATAAACATCAGAACAAAGCCACGCTCACATGGTTCTAAGACAAGGCATTGTATGTATATGTGTGAACTTCTGTAAGAGTGTGTGTGTGTGTGTGTGTTTGTGTGTGTGTGTGTGTGTGTGTGTGTTTTATGTGAGAATGTGTGTGTGTGACCTCCTGCTGACCAAAGGGTCGTAAACGCAGGAAGCTTACATCAAAAGAAGCAGATCTTCCAGATAGGATGTATCTGCAATAAAACATTACAGCCCCCCCCATCCAGAACCTCGAGAATCTGGGGGGAAGGACAGTGGAATTTCTTTCATCAGAGTTGGCAAGCATAGAAATGACAACATTTAACAATTCACTCTAACAGATAGGTTGGACCACGAAGGATACACCTGACCCATCCTTCAAATGTCGGGAAAAGGGGGATGCATTTGTCGCTGCATTTGGAGGAGTCTTTGAATTTGGACAGTCTTCATTGCGTCGCTGTGATGTTTGCCTTCAAACGCGGCCTTCAAAGCATGCTGCCCCTGAATTTGGACAGTCAGAATCAGAAGAAAGCGCGTTGCTAGGACTAATTGGAGGCAAATTTAATTTCAAAAGACTATCTCCCAGCCCATTGTTCCTTCAGTCACTTTCAGTCATTATGCAAATGTACTGTTTATAAGATTGGTGAAACCTGCAGTTAGCTGAGACTGAAGAAGTAGAAACGTTTCTCCCACTGAAAATGCTACATCCAGATGAACAGAATAAACTTTTGGGGATAGGGTGAGAAGTTCAGCCATCAGGGAGGGGCTCAGTGTAGAGCCGCTGCTCCTCTGGATCAAAAGGAACCAGTTGAGGTGGTTTGGGCATCTGCCTCCTGGGCGCGTCCTGGGTGACATGTTCCGGGCATGTCCCACCGGGAGGAGGAACCCGGGGCAGACCCAGGTCACACGGGAAAGATTATGTCTCTCGACTGGCCTGGGAACGCCTTGGTGTTCCACCGTACAAGCTGAAGGAGTTGCCTGGAGAGAGGGAGGTTTGGGCTTCCCTGCGGCTGCTGCCCCCGCAACCCGACCCCAGATAAGTGGAGGATGGATGGATGGGATGGACCAGCAACATACAAGATATTTGTCACAATTTTTTTATAAATAAAAAACAAAAAAAAAGCTGATATATATGTAAATATAACATTTTGCAGAGGATGTCACAATTTATTAATAAAAACACAGTAAATAGTGGTGACAAAAATTGGACTTGAAATCATACATTTAATTTATCTCTGTCTGTAGTCAAAAGTTACAGGAAAACCTTCAATTGCCCGATTTGTTATTGAAAAAGACAAAATTTAAAAAAAAGAATAGACAAGAATAGGAGGTTTGTGGGTAAGCACAGGGATTTTAGCACAATCAATGACAGGCCGCTCTGGTCTTTCGGGAGCTTTCATTTGATCGTGATTTCCACTCATGACTTCACATATAATATCCAAGCACAGCACACACACAAACCACTCCAGCTGTACAGATACCAAACACAATATGTAGATTACTTGTGGTCGGAACAACATATATGTTCTGAGATGAATAAATTATTTCCAAATTGATGATGCAAATATTTGAAAACTAAAATAAAGTGTCTTGTAGTGCTATAGTATTATAATATTCTATTTTATTTTAGTTTTATTTGGAGGAGGATGGTCTCCTCTGTAGGTGCTGAAGTCAGCTGTGCACTAGATGGCACCTCTGGACAACCAGAGGCCTCCATGTGTCATTCGAATCATATGAAACAAGCGTCAACACAAAAGGAGTTTATTTTATGACAAAGAGACGAGAGCAGAGCAAGGGAAGAATCTGACCTAAAAGGTAAACCCAGCATTGAATACACCTGTAAACATATCTGTCAACTGTTTATTTCTTGAAAATCATCTTGAGGATGTTTCTCATTTTTTCTGCTTTCTGCAGAATGACTATTAGGTTTAGGTGTGCAATTCTCACCTGCAGCAAACTCCAGAAGTCAGTCTTGACTTTTTTATCAAGCATTGGTGGGCTATAGTGTTTTTTCATACAGCACAAAATGAATAGAAAACACAAATGTGCAATCTTGTAAAAGCAATTTGTGTGCACACAGCATTTGGATAAAGGAGTGTGAAGTTTGAAACAATTAAATGCTGCGTGTTGTTTCTCAGTAGTGCACAGATTAACCAGATTTAAGTAGCTTCCAGTGAGGAATATGCATTGTTTAGTTAAGCATTAGTTAAAAATGTTAAACATGTTGTACCCAAGTGTTAAAAGTCAAGAAAAGATTCAGTGTATGTGCACAGTATGTATGTATGTTAGCGATCAGTTAGAAATGGTGAAGAAAGTGAACTTTTAAATCACTTGAATTAAATTCCTGCAGGACATGTTCTGTTTCTAGCTTAAATTAACTCTGCGCCATTCCTAAAATTACTTTTACTGAAATATCAGCTTGTTCCGCATGATCATCTTGACTTCTTTTCTTGAACATTTTCACACAGCCAACCTTACATAATCTATCATGTCTTCACATTGGGAAGCAAAATCTGAGTTTACAGCACCATATATGTCTTGAAAGACGTTCCAAAAGAACTTGGAGGCATTTCAAATTTTGACAGTTTGCAGCACATGTAACTGTGATTTTCAAAGCTGGCAAAGTTCTTGTAGTGCAATTAATTTTAAGTGGTGTCTAAATTCTGGGTAGTCTCAAGGATAGGAGACAAACTATACTGTAAGTAATTTTAAGTATTGCATAATGTCTTGTTAATTTTGTGGAAAATCCCTCCATCTTACAGTTGTTGTTTCAACTTGTAAATGCGTTAGAATTTTCGAGATGTGGGCTGTATAATGGAGCAGAGTAACATTGCTGGTTTCTTACAGGAAAGGAGACCCTCCTTTGTGAACAGTGATTGTAAAAAAAACAAACAAATTAAATTAGACGTGGCTCCATCATTATAAGGTCATAAGCCTGCAAATTTTGTTGGTATTAAGTTTTTCTTAAACTTTGGTAAGGGAAAACAGTCCTCAATCTCATGCACATCAGTGTAGTGAGTATTAAATACAGATGTAAAAAAAATGATGTAAAAGGTCAAATTATGCATTTCATAATATGACCAACACCCTGGAAAATACAACATATTTTCAGAGTAAGATAGGAAAATATTGTTTGTTTTTCTGCAAAATTACCATGAAATTAGAGAATACTTCAAATTACTTATGCACGACTTAAGTTTACTTACAGTATTATTATTTCCTTGTTCATGTAAAAACATAAACCCTTTATTCTGGTCTGCCTACATTTAAGTATTTAAGTGCAATTACATTATAATTTTAAATGTAACACATTGGAATTTCATTTAATTACAGGAATTCCCCCCTTAGTTGTGAGTCGTATTACAAAGTGCTTTCCTTACAACCTCCAGTTATCAACCTTGTTTATTAACACAGGCTTTCTGCTTCAGTCAACACAGGTCCCGAGGAAAAGGTAGAAGACCAATGCTGAGATATGTTTTAAGTATTCCAGAGTGTACTGTTACAGTTGTTGTTTCATTCCCAAAGTGTCAGCTGTTAAACTTTAAACTCCATCAATTTGAGCACAAAGTTCTTAGAAGGCATTCAGGTGTGACACTCTTGCGCACAGAGATTTTAAAGCGGCTTTATTTATTTTATTATTGGACAAATTAAAGTGAAATAATTCTCTGTATTGAATAGTCTTTACTACAGTGCTGTAACATATGACAGCTTTAACAGAACATTAAACCAAGCATAACAAACAAAAGTACATATACATGAATTTTCTGCATTTATTTTAGCAATTTATTGGCTTCTTTAGTTTCTATTACTTAAGTACAGCTCAAACTGCATCTGAAAATTATCTTACCACAGCTCAGAATCTGTATCATAAGGATACCTCAATAAGACAGAGTGTGAACTTCCTGCTAGAGAAGTTTTCTTCACAAAGTTTAAGGACAAAACAGAATGTAAACAAACAAAGATGCTGGTATTCTGTTTAACTCTTACTCTGCTCTCTTTCCTCCTTCATCTCCACTTTTGTTTTTTCACTCACAGCTCAGAACCTCATGTTTGTTCTGATTTGAAGGCACCATGAACAACACAGCAAACCTGACACCTCATCAAGATTTGTGGCGCAATGTGACGGTTGCAAACACCACCTCATTTTACCGTCCTGCTGTGGACCCAGTGATTGGCAATGTCATTACAGTAATGTTTACAATCATAATCATCATCACCATGGTTTCACTTGGATGCACCATGGAGGTGTCTAAGATCAAGGTGACCAAGATCAGCAGTGAATGCGAATGTATGTGTGGTTTGTCTATATGCAGAAAAGCATTGTGACAAAGCTTGAAAAAATTACACGTAAGCAGGGTTTTCGATGATGTCCTTATGCCTGACAACACATTCCAGTTCCTGCAAGGAATTGCTGAGCATGTTGAAATATAATGGATAAAATACGTAATGAACATCACCATTTTTTCTAAGTAAATATAGTTGATGTGAAATTCTCACCAGATGTTGGTAGCAAACCATTTGATCATGAGAAATGATGCAGGGAAAAAAGTAGCTAACTGAAATCAGTAAATAGAAAGGAATCCTGCCGCTTAATGCAAATCTATTTCACCTGGTTTAGTCCCAAATGATTGCCTATAAAAAGGTGTCTCATTACCACACAAGAAGCATCAGATGAAGGGTAAAACCAACAAGATTTGTCAAGCCCTTCGCAGCCTTATTGTTGCAAATCATAGTGATGGCATTAGTTACAGATAAATGTCTAAACTACTGAAGATTGCAGTGTAGCACTGTTGGGGCCATAATTTGGAAGTGGAAAGAACATAATTTCACCATAAACTGCACATGACCAGGTGCTACCAGACAGACGAGTGAGAAGAACCATCAGAGGAGGCACAAGTGTTTCAAAGAAAACAAGTAAAAACACTCAACTGCCATGGTTTGTATGCACACCATACATACCTCAGCACACAAGACTCCATTACTGAAGAGAAAGCATGTTAAAGCATGTTTAAAGCTTGCTAAAAAGCATTTAGACATGCATGTGAAATATTGGGGGAATGTAGTCTGGTCAGGTGAGACCAAAACCATGTTTGAGGTCAAAAGGCACTGCACATTACCCCAAAATCAGCATACCGACAGTGAGGTTTGAAGGTGGGAACATCATGGAGTGAGATTGTTTTTCAGCATATGATACTAGCAATCTTCGTATAATTGAAGATGAATGGGAAAATGTACCGAGACATTCTTGATAACAATCTGCTGCCATCTACCAGGATGATGAACAATGAAGGGTGGACGTTTCAGCAAGACAGTGATCCTAAACACAGATCGAAGGAAACTGAGTTTCTTTCTCTGAAACTAGACTGGCCCAACAAGTCACCTGGTTTGAATCCAACTGAAAATCTGTGGTAAGAGCTGGAGCTCAGAGTTCATAGAACCTTTTATGTGGAAGAATGGCCAAAATCACACCTGACCAATCCACACGACTAGTTTCTCCGTACAGAAGCTGTCATCACCAACAAAGACTTCTGTACGAAATATTAATAATTTTTCCCTGTGTCATTTCTCATTACTATACATAACTTAATTAATGGACATCTATGGTTTGATTTCTTTGCATGTGTGGATTGGATGGGTTGTTAGCATCTGATGAGAATTTCATGTCAGTAGCACCTTTAGAAATATATTTACTTAGAAATGCTTATTTTACCTGTTGTAGATAATTTCTCCAGTGATTTCTAGGTGGGCATGCCTAGAAAACCTACAAAGGGAGGCATACTAATCACAAATCCAGTGTCTCAAAATATTATACCATCACCTAAGAGCAGTCATTAAATTATTTACAACTTCTGGAACAGTTCTTGATTTATACACTCTGCTTGGGTCTTCCATTAATTAGTGCATCGTGGCACTCCTGAGGTGCTATGATGATTTGATAATGGACCTTAGCTCACCTGTAATTTTGCTTTGTTTTTTTTTTCTCTTCCTCTTGACGATACCCCATAGATTCTATGTAGGATTCACCCAAGAGAGTTGGATGACCAGCCAAGCAAAGTAGCCTAATAAAATGGTCATCATAAAAGTTATCAGTTTTATTTCTGTGTGCAGGTAATAAGTCCTGTTAGAAAAAGAACTCTACATCTCCATAAAGATTGTCAACAGATGGAAGCTCAAAGTCCTCTAAAGTCTCCTGGTAGTCAGCTGAATTTGGATTTTCAATTCAATTTTATTTTATAGTGCCAAATCACAACAACTGTTGCCTCAGGGCACTTTATATTGTAAAGTAAAGACCATAAAGTTATACCGTTTACAATTGATAAAGTCGATTTGATTCTGTTTTTGTTCAGACAAACCCTGTATCAAGTATACCCTTATACTCGATACAGGGGTCCACTCTACCCTACCCAGGGCAGGGTTACTGGGGTCGTACCCTGGAGGCAATCCTCTCACAGCTCCGAAGTTATTCCTTTAATTGGTAAGGTGCTGAATACCATCCACACCTGTTTGCCTTTGTTGCTGTCTAGGTGTTCTTCGGTCTTTCTCTTGTAGTCTAACTTGGCCTCACGGATACCTCTCTCTTCAGGTTGACACATTCTGTGCTAAGCATAAAAGTGAAGCTGTAAATTTACTAGTTAATCTTTGTTTAACCCTCACTTATGGTCACAAGCTATGGGTAATGACTCAAAAAGAATGAGGTCAAGGATACAAATGGGTGATTGAGTTTTCCTTTAGTGACAGGGTAAGGCGCTCAGCCAATCAAAAGGGACTTGGAGTAGCAGCGCTGGTCCCACACATCGAAAGGAGCTAGTTGTGATGTTTTGGGTATCTGACAAGGATGCCTCATGGATGCTTTCTAGGTGAGGTATTTAGGGCATGTTCGTTTTGGGGTGAGGGTCTGTGGCAGACCCAGGACTCAGTGGAGAGATTATATCTCTCAGCTGCCTTTGTAATGGCTCAGTGTCCCCCAAATGAGCAGGAAGAGGTGGCCAGGGTGAGGCTAGACTATGCTTCTTTGCTCCGACTGCTGCAGCAGAAAAGAAGTGGATGGTTGGATGGAACAAAGAATTCATGGTTTGAGTAATTTACTCAAACTGGAATAAAATATAGAAATATTTTGAGATACTGGATTTCTGAACATTATCTATTGTAATAAATACAGAATATATGAAAGTTTACCCTTTTCAATTAAAATGCACTTTTTTATAGTAATCTTAGTTTTTAAAAAATATATATATTTCATTTGGCCTTTTTCTGCTTTATTGGATAGACTCAGTGAAGAAGGGACAGGAAAGTGGGGGCAGAGAGAGAAGGGGAAGACATGCCGCCGTGTTCATGTTAATATAAACACAGTGGCATGATACATGTTTGGTAAATTTATGATCAATTTTGCTAACTTCTTCTGTTTACAGAATTACATCATGAAACCTAAGGGGTTGGCTATTGCAGCTATGGCCCAGTATGGGATCATGCCTCTTACAGCCTTTTGCTTAGTTAAGGTTGGTATTTATGTAAAGTTAAATAAGATTACTAACATGCAGTATAAATAATACACATTTGTCTTTACAAAGTTACAAATTTACAAATACAGACAGTGATTTATGATTTGTGTTCCCCACAAAAATCTTTTTACAGGGATTCATAATAAAAAATGTGAAAATTACACTGAGTTAACCAAAAAGAAGAACCAAAAACAGATTTTTTTATGTGAGGAAAATGAGTGGAACAGACTCAGGTGCAGACCAGATGAATTTAGAATAAAAGTCACAAGTTTATTAACAATCACACCAAGTGAAACTATTTACAGTGCATGGGACTGAGATTTTGAGGGATCCAGGGATGGAAGGGAAACGGGTTCAAAAAACACAGACTCTCCAGTTTCACAATCCTCTTCAGCACTCACGCTCACTTTCACTCCACACCTCACTGCCAGACTCAGGGGAACAGATCAGGAAATAGGGATGGGTCCAGGGATTTATATACAAGTAAACGTAATTAGAACAGACTAGAAATTCACATGGGAAACAGAGGTTAACGGAGCTGTACTGCCAAGTGTTACTCAACTCAGCTCAGGCAAACTGGCAATCAGGCAGATTCATGGCAGGTGGGCACGTGAGAGGAGACGGTATGGTTTCCAGGAGGTCCAGAGGGAGGAAAATCCAAGCGAGCCACGACAGTCAGGAAGGCAGGGCAAGGAGCGTGGTGAGTGTGAACCCCATGGTTTGTAGACTGACTGATGTAGTAGAACCGAACAGGACAAGCGCTGAAGAGTCACACGGCAGGAGATTAATCTGATAGAACTGAGAACAGTAAGGCAATGTTAAACCTGGGACAGACGAGCATGAACTTGATCACAAGGAGTCAGAGTTACCACAACAGTAGCTGGACAAACTGGTGGAGAGTGGTAGGCAGTGCTGGTTTAAGAACCCTACTTACTGATTGCCATTGAAACGAGGAGCAGGTGAGGTGCTGGAAACTCCACCCCAGAGGACGGAAATCTGGAACTCCTCTAACAAAGAGGAACACCTCCCAGACACTCCCAAGGCACATGACAAAAGTTGCCCAGTATAATTGAATTTGTGTTGATGTACCAGTATATAATTGACACCAGACATTGTATTTTAGACTATTAGACATTGTTACTGTTATTTACAGCATCCTGCAAGAGGTTATTGGAATTTTGTGTTACAGGGGTTCCAGTTGAGTGATATAACAGGTGTGGTTGTTCTGGTATGTGGCTGCTGTCCTGGAGGAATTTTCTCCAACTCCATGGCTCTGGCTATACAGGGGGACATGAACCTCAGGTACACATGGGAAATTATGTAGTTGTAATACATTTATAATGAGCAAAAAGATGCTAAAAATGTCATTTGAAGTGATTAATGCTCAGGCAGAAAACTTTGCAACAGTTATACCACTCGATTGTGTTTGCGAACTTTCTCACACTGTGTCTGCCTGTGCAGTTTTCAAATATAACACCAAGACAAGCACAATTCAGACAGTTCAGTTAGATTTTGGCATATCTCTATCTGATGTCCAGCATGTCAGTGGAATATTCCAGGAAGCAGGAATATCTCTAGTAAATTGTTTGAACATCAGGTTGACAAGGACATTTAGCGTTGTGCAGTTATGAGAAGGGTTAATGGGGTCAGTAAAATACGAGGAATATGGAAATCATGAAGTCTGTGAGAATCAGATGTCATTTTTAATTCAGAAAGGCTAGTTTCCATAGCTCAGAGTAAAGCAACGTATTTGTCTCATCCTTGTCTTCTCCAGCATCGTGATGACTTCCTGCTCTACAGTGTTGGCTCTGGGTATGATGCCTCTCCTGCTCTACATCTACTGCCAGGGTTTCCCCAGCGTGCAGAACGCTGTCCCTTATGGTGAAATTATGTTATCGTTGGTCTTGATCCTTGTCCCGTGTAGCATCGGCATCATCATCAAGACCTACAGGCCACAGTACTCGAAGAAGTTCACGAAGGTTTGTGCATACTGACAGGAGAATGAAGGTCAGACAGATCACTAAAACTGATTAACAGTGTTGATTATTCAGTTGGTACAGGAATGGCAAATAAAGACTTCAATGACTCATATTTTAAATATTTGTTTAACAAAAAAAACCCAAACAAAACGGAAAACCTGTAGATTACATCATCCTACAAATTCTAGAATTTGCTGATTGTTTTTTTCTTAACTTGACACACAGAGAAACTGAATAACTTTGTCTTCAGACAAGTCTAAACATCTTTCTCTAAACTCAAATAATTCCTAATGATACCTAACGGCAGTCAGAGAGCTGTTGCCTAGCCTGTAGAGTTCTGTGCGTCACTTTGATATGCTTCCGCAGACCATCACTGACCCACCATACTAAAAAATATTACAGGCAGCATACTGTTTGCCATGGCTTCTCCAGACCCTCCACACTGTCAGGGACAGGGTCCACTAGAGGACGTCTGGCCCTCAGGCCACCCTTATGAAAGAGACATTCACAGAATTTTTTAGGGCTCTGACAGTGCTCATCCTGTTCCTTTTTGCACAAAGGAGTTACCTGTCCTGTTGGTGGGTTAAGAACCTTCTAAGGCCCTGTCCAGCTCTCCTTGACAGGGCCTATTAACTGGTTGCATACCACAGGCCTCCAAACACTTGACCCAGCTGTCTTATCAAGTTATAGGCCACTGTCGAACCTTCCTTTTCTTTCAAAACTTCTTCAAAGAGTAGTTGTAAAACAGCTATTTTCTTATCTGTAGAAAAAAAATGTTTATTAGAAGAGTTCAGTCAGGTTTCAGAGCTCATTACAGTACTGAAAAGCCATTAATGAAGGTAACAAATGACCTTCTTATGGCCTCTGACAGTGGACTCACTTTTGTGCTTGTCCTGCTGGACCGCAGTGCAGGGTTCTGTCCTACGACCAGTTGTGTTTACATTATACAGACAATAACATTAAAGACATAGCATTCATTTTCACTGGACAGATAACACCCAACTTTATCTAGACCTGGATGACCTGTCATTTTCTGCTTCTAAATTCAGATAAAACTGAGTTTATTGTTCTGGGCACTAAAAGTCTTAGAAATCAAGTCAAGTCAAATTTGCTTTATTGTCATTCCAACCATGTGCAGTGGTACAGTAAAGAGTGAAATGAGACAACGTTTCTCCAAGACCATGGTGTTACATATGACATATAACAGACAATCAACACAGGACTACATAGAACCTGACAGTACCTGACAGTGACTGTACCTGACAGAACAGTACGATACAGACACAACAGTGCAAAAGAAATGTGAAAAAGACTGAGTATTGTGCAAAAAGTAACGTGGTGTATGAAGGTGTGCGTGTGTGTGAGAGAGAGATTCTGCCTATAAGTGCTCGGTAGTGATGTGTATGAAGGTGTGCATGTGTGTGTGTCAGTCCAGTCACTAACTGTTTAGGAGTCTGACAGCTTGGGGGAAGTTACTGTTTCACAGTCTGGCAGTAAGGGCTTGAATGCTCCAGTACCTCTTGCCAGAAGGCAGCAAGATGAAGAGTGTAGTGAGGGGTGTGTGACGTCCTCCAAAATGCTGGTGGCTTTACAGGTGCAGTGAGTGCGATAAGTGTCCATGATGGGCTTCAACGATCTTCTCAGCTGTTATGGTGTCTAACAACATCAGCTTAATATCACCTCTATCACCTTAGTAGAGCACTTCACTCTCAGACTGCAGGTTTATTTGTGGTTCCTAAGGTATTTAAAAGTAAAATGGGAGACAGAGCCTGCAGTTTTCAGGCCTCTCTTCTGTGGAACGAGCATCCAGTTTGGATTCAGGAGATAGACACTATCCCTACTTTTAAGATTAGACTTAAAACTTTCCTTTTTGCTAAAGCATATAGTTAGGGCTGGATCAGGTGACCCTGAATCCTCCCTTAGTTATGCTTCAATAGGTCTAAGCTGCTGAGGCTTCCCCTGATGCAATGAGTTTCTTCTTCACTCACCTTTTAAACTCATTATGTGTTTATACACCAGTCTGCATTTAATAATTACTCTCTGGCTCTCTTCCACAGTGTGTCTTTGTCCTGTTTTCCTCCTCTCACACACAGCTGGACACGGCAGATGGCCGTCCCTCTCTGAGCCTGGTTTTGCCAGAGGTTTCTTCCTTTTAAAAGGGCATTTTTACTTCATCTATCACCAAAGTGATTGGTCAAAGGGGGTCATATCATTGTTGGGGTTTTCTCTGTATTATTGTAGGGTTTTACCTTACAATATAAAGTGTCTTGAAGCAACTGTTGTTGTGATTTGGAGCTATAAATAAGCTGAGTTAAGTTGAGTTGAATTAAATTTAAATCAATCAGAAATGATGAGGAGGGTAAAATCTCAACGGCCTCCACCTGTGAAACTATTCTGGTTTTGAACATTGTCTTGTTTTTGCATCTCTGGCACACCTGTTGTTGATTTCATCAACATCCAAGCCACTAAAACTGATTAACAACCCCCTCTCTACTTAACTGACCAGATCAATATCCCAGAAGTGTAATTTAATTGATCCTATACTCAAATTCTTTTGAGCAACACAAAAGAAGAAGAGAAGTCAAACACTGATTTATGTCCTGTCTTGTTGTTCTTAGGTAGGCATGATTATAATGCTGATTATACTTGTGGGGACCTTGAGCTTAATTGCTATTGGAAGCGGACATATCATCCTGACTATGATGTCTCCTTCGCTCTTGGCCATCGCTGGTCTCATGCCTTTGATGGGCTACTGCTTTGGATACGTGTTCTCTTCAATCTTCAGACTCATCCACAGGTAGGTTATTTGTTTAATTCAATCATCAATGGATATGTATATATATATATATATATATATATATATATATATATATATATATATATATATATATATATACACACACACACACATATATCCTTCCATATGCCTTCAGGGAGCGGAGAACCGTTTCCATGGAAACAGGCTGTCAGAATGTCCCGCTGTGCACCACCATATTGAAGATAGCTTTCCCTGACGAAGTGGTGGGTCCTCTGTATCTATTCCCAACAGTCTACTTGGTGTCTCAGTTGTTGGAGGCGGCGATGATCATCATGCTGTTTAGGTGCTACCAAAGGTTCAAGAGAAAAGAGAAAGGTAAGAGTGACAGCAGGATTCAGATGTTACATTTTAACACAGGCCTTTTATCACGCAAGATAAACAAAAAACAAAAAACAAGTATGTACAGATGTATGGCTGGTCGTTATTTCTCAAAAATTCAACTGTGACTTGATCAAGTGTGGGTGTGGATGTTGTGGACATCTGAAGTGGGCAATGCTAGAACAAAGTTTGGGTTAATTCACTGAACTACATCCAGGTTGCAGCATCTCAGATTGGAGTGTTTGCATTACTCCAGTTGCTAAATTTAAAATATTTTAAATTAAACATTTTTTAAATTTTGTGTTTGAAGAAACAGTACTTTTTACACTACACAAAGTATAGAGCAAAACAATAAATAATACAGATATATTCTCCCCAAAGTACTTTATTGTACCTTTATGGGCTTGTAAAAGGGGCGATGCCTTCTAAGGTACTCCTGTTGTACCCTTTCATGTTGTAGGTTATGGAGAACCACTATTGACAATATTATACTCTCATGTACTGGTACCCAAACTGACCTTTTAAAAAGGTGCTACATTAGATATAGTGTAATTTATTCTATATAATTTCATTATTAATAATGTATTTGCTTTGATTGTTAGTCATTTGAGTGGTCTCATTGATCACCGAAAGCATTATGTGCCTCATATCTGCCTCTACAAGAACAAAAGCCCTACTATGTGGCAACAGTGCTAACCACTGCACCACTCTGACCTGAGACGAACACACAATAAATGCACACTTGAGCCTCAGTTACAGGTATGAGACAGTTAAATGCAAATTTATGGCATTCTGCATTTAAGCATTAGTAATTATTATTAACATCTGGCACTCTCAATAGTTTAAATTCAGTTCAATTTGATTTCAATCCAATTTGATTTATATAGAGCCAAATCATAACAGTAGATGCCTCAAGGCACTTAGTATATTATATATAATATAAATGTATTAAGGTATTACATTCTAGGTTTTTATAATAATACAGAGAAACCCCCAACAATCAAACCACCCTCCTATGAGCAACACTTGGCCACAGTGGGAAGGAAAAACTCTAGTTTAATAGGAGGAAACCTTCAGCAGGCTTAGGGAGCGGCAGCTATCTGCCACGATTGGTTGGGTTGGAAACTAGGAAAACCTAGTTTACCTAGTTATTCTAGACACAGGAACTTGAACACATAGTACATTACTAAACACACAGTCTGTGGTTGAAGCAGCAGAAAAAAAGAGGCAGAGAAAATGAGCAATTCCACCATCAGGTGTGGATGAGCGAAAACAATACACGAAATTATGACCTGAGTCGTAACAAAAGGCAAGCACCAATGAGCCCACAAAAAGGTTTCTGGCTAAGAGTCTCTGCTGCCTGTTCTTGCTTTCCATTCTACACACAAAAAAAATGTCAAAACAGCACCAAAACAAAGCAAAGAATAACTTTGTGATTGTGTTTTGTTTAGACAGATGAATAACCAGACCTTAGGATTTCACATTTAACCACAGGTTGAGCAACTTTTGTGCCAAATCTTGGTTTGTGTTAATACATCTGCTTGTCTGACCCACAGAAACTTACCAGGCTGCTGCCACTGGAGAGGATCTGAAAGAGTCTGATGTGTGATGTCAATTACCACTCATATATGTCTCTATTGTAAAGCGCTTTGGGTGCCTTGAAAAGTGCTATATAAATCCAATCCATTATTATTATTATTATTATTATTATTATTATTATCATTAGCGTGAACGGTTTCACCAAAGGGGCTCCAGATGAAGTAACCAAAAATAGCTTACTTACAGCTTAATGAACAAATAGAAAAATGTGCAACTGTATTTCTTGATTATAAAACAGTATCATTATCTGAACCCTGTAAATGTATTAGTAACTTCAGTTATAAAGCACAAATGAAGCCAAAATCCAGTTTTAAATACATTTTTGAAAAATCTGATGAGTCTATCTTTTTCCTACATCATACAATTACAAGTTTCCACTGAAAATAAATTCATTATGTACATTTATGTTTTTTCAAGCTCTTGTCCACTAAGTACCAATAAGTACCACTGAGGAAATGCCAGGAAACACGTCCACCGTCTCATGGATTACTACATTACAGGCTGCAGTATGTGAGATGAGCAGAGCTCTGAGTTTGTGATATGCACTGCGTGAGCTCCACAGAGCACTGTCCAGTTTTCATTCCTGTTCACCTTGACCACCTTAGACTTTCAGTAGATCTCAAGGTCGTGGTGCCCACAAAACGGTTAGATGTAAACATGATGGTGCTCGACTTCAGAAGGAAGAGCACAGCTACATAGACCATAACTGTCCTGGGATAAGATGATGCCCAGGTACTCCACTAGGTACTCACAGGTACAGGAAGGCAGATCCATCTCCTGCAATTGATTGGGGTGGAGGGGAGGAGGACAAAACAAAAGATCCAGCTGGTCATGGAAAATTACCGCTCCTCTCAGAGCCTGGTTCTGCTAGAGGCTTCTTCCTGTTAAATGAGAGTTTTTTTCTTCCTACTTTCACCGAGTAGAGTAGGGTAGATATATGGACAAATTTTGTATTTGATGTCAAGGAAAACTAACATTTTAAATGACAATGGGAAACAGTGGCAACAAAAAAGTTCTGGCTAAGAGTCTCTGCTGCCTGTATTCGTATTCCATTTTCCACAAAAAAGGCAAAACAAATACAAAAACCTCCATCAAAGAGTAACTGTGCAATTGTGTTTTGTTTTTTGCTCAAGACCACTTTTAAAAAAAATCCCAAGAAAGTCTCCATGGAAGCACAAATATAAAGAAACAAGGGGAGGCTCAAGACTTTTGCACTCTCAGTGCAAAGGGCTGTCCGTGTATGTGCTGCTGGTTTTAAGGTTTATGAGAAACCATGCTTTGAATGCTCTAGTGAGATGCCACAGCAATCAAAAACAGCACATTTGTCACAGCTGAAACCGTGCAAAGTGGGCCGTCTCAGAACGGAAAACACACGGAGACAAGGGGTGACGTAAAACACAAGAACTTTATTACAACAAGACTATGAATCATGAACTCTGAACGGAATTATCAACAATAATGAGAAACAAGGTCAGAGAAGGTCAGAGGACTATAACTTGGGTATTTTTCAAGATCTAAGGTCACAATGAGAAACTAAGGCTAGAATGGGTCGGAAACATCACCAGACATCAGTGCACTCAAAGTTCAAGGTTTGGTGGAGGGCATGGGCACCAGGAAATGCAACCAGGAGTCTCAGTACACTGCAAGAAAAAAAGAGGAGATTAAGGGACCATGACCCAGAGCCCCGGAGATGGAGAAAGCAGAGTGTAGATTAATTAATCTTACAGTTTTGCAGGTGGTGGACTGGTAAGGTGGGGGAAGGATGAGTTGTCCAGGTGAGCTGATTACAGAGCAGGTGATCCGTAGGGCTCTGTGATGGTGACAGGAGGGCAGGCAGGTAAGCTGAATGAGTGACAGGATAGAGAAACTGAACAGTCACATTTAGACCAGCAGCTGGGTGAGAGTAAGTGTTGTCTAAGACGAAACCTGAAAGCCGACTGGAGGTCTGTAGAGACAAACAAAGTCAACAGCTTTCTGCAGAAATCAGCTCTTTAACCAAAACTGTAGCGACTAACACTGACTGTGGCACGCTGAGCACTTGGCGGAGAGTAATGGTGATCGCTGATCCTAAATGCTGACAGCATAATTGCTCCCAGGTGTGGAGAAGCGTCAGAACGGCTTGAGTTGGCGCTATATAAATAAAATTGAACGGAACTGAACGGAACTGAACGGAACTGAACTGAACTGAACGCAACACAGCGACTCTGCCCAGAAGTGGAGACAGCAAAAAAGAAGAAAACTCCAGCACTCACCCGGACCATGACAACATTATGACCACATGTCTGTAAGAATTTAGAGGAACAGATGTAACATTTAGTTCAGGTGTATGGTGCGTCTAGTACTTCTGGTTGTCCTAACATCTATCTAATCTGTGCAGTTATAACTCAGATCAAGATTTTTTCTTTTCTTCATTTAAGCAATATTAGTCCTTTAAAAGCAGCAGTGGTTCATTATACTTGAATTATTTTTTCTCTCTCAATAGCGCAGTGTTTTGAATGAATATTAGGCAATGTGAAAAAGTGTAATTCATCTGCATGTTGACATTTTCCTTGGAAATTCAGCAAATAGCTAAAGGATTTTTAAAGAAGGGCACAGGTTTTCACAATGCTGGGTTTTAATTTCAGTATTAGTTCATTATAGTTAAAAATAATAACTTTTAAAAAATCTATGTAAATCACTGTTTCTGTCATGGCAGTGGCAGCAGATGTGTGGAGTTATAAGAGAAGGTCCCAAATGCAGGCACAGGCTTTGATGCGAGTGAGCTTTTATTTACAGTAGGTGACATTCAAACAAAAACAGGAAATGAGTGGCGTGGAGCTATAAGAAACTTAACTGGGAGAACTAAAACCTAACATGAGCCTGAACTGAAAACAAGAAACCTGAATACCTGGAAGAGGAGACAGAGAGCAGGGGCATGACAGACAGACGAACCGACAACAAGCACAAAGAATAATAATAATGGATTGCATTTATATAGCGCTTTTCAAGGCACCCAAAGCGCTTTACAATTCCACTATTCATTCACTCTCACATTCACACACTGGTGGAGGCAAACCACAGTTGTAGCCACAGCTGCCCTGGGCAGACTGACAGAAGCGAGGCTGCCATATCGCGCCATCGGCCCCTCTGGCCAACATCAGTAGGCGGTAGGGTAAAGTGTCTTGCCCAAGGACACAACGACCAGGACAGAGCCTGAACTGAAAACAAGAAACCTGAATACCTGGAAGAGGAGACAGAGAGCAGGGGCATGACAGACAGACTAACCGACAACAAGCACAAAGAATAATAATAATAATAACAGATTGCATTTATATAGCGCTTTTCAAGGCACCCAAAGCACTTTACAATTCCACTATTCATTCACTCACTGGTGGAGGCAAGCTACAGTTATAGCCACAGCTGCCCTGGGGAAGACTGACAGAGGCGAGGCTGCCATATCGCGCCATCGGCCCCTCTGGCCAACATCAGTAGGCTGTAGGGTAACGTGTCTTGCCCAAGGACACAACGACCAGGACAGAGATCGAACCGGCGGCCTTCCGGTTACAGATGCGCTTCCCAACCCCCTGAACCACTGTCGCACACACAGTAGCTGTGTCCAAATTGATTGATTGATTGATTGATTGAATCTTTATTTTGAACATGTTGAAAAAGTATAAAAAAAAATAGAATTAAAAGAAACAAATGAACAAAGCAAACAAAAGGAAAACGAGCAACCACAACTCCAAATAACGTCCATGTTCAAAAAGGAGCAGGAAGAAGCATAAGCTTATTTAATCCCACCCCTTTTCCACTATCTAGTATCAATAGACTACAGAAATACCTCCTTGCAATTACATTATATGTTATGTGTAATTTTTTTATTTTTTATTTATTTATTTATTTTAAATATATACACATATATGTTTCTATCTATCCATACATACGTATATACACACATACGCACATATACACATTTTCAATAACCCCATTAACACCTCAAGGATACACAGCCTACAATTATATATATATATCCATACCAACAAACCCGTGCATGCGCACACACATGAAAATATTAGACAAGAACACCCTATCAAATCTCTACCTTTTCCCTGTACCCTGTAAAAACCATATCCTTAAACCGCTTTTTAAACTGCGCCATGCTTGAACATTGCTTCATATCTTTACTTAGTCTGTTCCACAGCTTCACTCCACACACAGAGATGCAAAAACTTTTTAATGTTGTACGGATACGAGGATGTTTTAAATTTAATTCCCCCCTCAAATTGTATCCCCGTTCCCTTTTAGAAAACATTTTTAGAATATTGTCAGGAAGCAGGTTATTTATTGCTTTATATATAATTTGTGCTGTGAGAAAATGAACCAGATCTGTGAATTTTAGAATTTTTGATTTTAAGAACAGCGGATTTGTATGATCTCTGTAACCAGTTTTATGGATTATCCTTATGGCCCTTTTTTGTAATATAAAGATTGATGATAGCGAACATTTGTAAGTATTGCCCCACACCTCTGCATAGTAATTCAAATACGGTGCAATCAGGGAACAATAGAGAATGTGGAGTGATTTGTGGTCCAGAATGTGTTTTACTTTACTCAAGATTGAGACACTTCTTGAAATTTTGTTATGTATATGATTTATATGAGACTTCCAGTTTAATTTATCATCTATAATCACACCAAGAAACTTATGTTCAAGTACTCTTTCAATTTCCACACCATCTACATGAATCTGCACTTGTGCATTTCTAAGGGAATTAATTAATATGTCATGATTGATTGTGTCGAATGCTTTCTTGAGATCCAGAAATACTCCAGCTGTTTCTGATCTATAGCATTCGTAATCTCCTCAATTGATTCGATTAATGCCAGAGATGTTGATCTTTTTGATCTGAATCCATATTGACTGTCAGAGAGTAATTTATATTTATCTAAGAATTTGTCTAATCGTTTATTAAACAGGTTTTCTAGGATTTTGGAGAATTGTGGTAGTAAAGAAACAGGCCTGTAATTTGTGAAGTGGCGTCTATCCCCGGTTTTATACAGCGGCACAACTTTAGCTATTTTCATTTTGTTTGGCACTTTTCCCGTCTGAAATGATAAGTTGCAAATATATGTTAGAGGTCCTACAATTCCTTCAATGACCTTCTTGACGATTTTCATGTCAATATCATTACAATCAGTGGATGTTTTATATTTACACATGTGTACAATGTCAATTATTTCTTTTTCCTCCACTGATGTGAGGAACATTGAGTTAGGGTTCCTATCAATCAGGTTTTCACTACAGTCTACTGATGGCAGTGACTCAGGAATTTGTTCTGCCAGTTTTGGTCCAATATTTACAAAATAATGATTAAAGCTGTTGACCTTATCAGCAGTGTTTTCCATAATATTGCCATTATCG